TTCTTAGTCTACTAATCCCTAATTATAGCCTAAAGGTTAGCTATCTACCGCGGTTACTAGGTAGGCGTCGAGCTTATATTATAACTATAAACTAGCTCCCTAGGCGAACTATAGTAATATAAAGTTCGCTATAGCACCCGAATCGACTAGTGCTTTAGCCTATTCTTAGCTAATCTTAACCTACACTTATAGGTTTCTAGTATATCTTATTACCGCGAGGGTATACTTATAGTATTCTACTCTAGGTACCTAGGTGCCCTTACACCTATTCGAAAGTCTTTTAGTAGGCGCTTCTATTAACCCTCTAGTCAGAAGGCCGTCTAGTTTTTTAAATTAGAGTCTTCTAAGCTAGAGCTCTCCGAGCTTCCGTTCTTAGTAGATGTCTCTATTTTATTATACTAGAATCTACTTAGATCAACCCGGCGTCCCGGATTCACTTATAGATTCCTAGCTACAAATTCCTATTATAATACTATAACTTTTTATTAGAGTTCCCTAGGAATGTAGCCTCCCTTAGGGGTGATATATTCTCTATCCCTAGTAAATCTTGCTTCTATAGGCGGATGTTCTCGCACTATATTGTAGTATTCGTATTCTAGGCGGGGTATACTATCTAGTATCTACTCTAGCTAGCGTATACATTCTATAACTACAACTAGTCGTCCTAGGATAAGGTTATAGACTTCTTTATATAGCTCACTAAAACTAATAGCGGATCTCTACTATACTTTATATATAGTTAAGCGTATCTTAATTTTTTAGAGCTTCTCTTTAAATTCTAATTGTCCTACTTGTTCCTCTATAAGATTGTATATATCGTGGTAGGCCTAATACTATACCTTAGGTGGGTATCCTCCTATAATAGGGTTCTATTCTAGTACCCTTTCCTCTAGTTCTTTATTTAAGACTAGGTTCGAGATGTCGGAGCTAAATTCGCTTTTTAATAATTCTTCTTTTAATAATACTACCTCTTCCTTAGAGAGGGTACTTAGTACTATAGTAGGTGCGACTAGGACTTCTACCTATAAACCCTAGTAACTAGATTCCGCTTAAACTCTTTCCTAAATTAAGAGAGGTCGCGGTTCCTCTTTATGTATTAGTGTTCTCTAGCTAGGTTCCTTCTTAGTGACTTGTAGTGCTTGCTTTAATTATAGTAGTTTTGACAACTATCCTAATCTATTCTTGTCGCTTAGATGTATCTAATACTTATTATTATAGTATGTAGTCTAGGATATAGCTCTATGGTGAGTTATAGTGGTAGCTAGCCTACCTTACTTTTTTAGGCTATTAGTTTTTACTAGTGATTGGGTTTTTTTTAGCTGCCTATAATCTCTAGTAATATGTCCTATGCGATTGTAGTTAAAGTATTTTCCTATAAACGGCTTTTTTTATCCGGAGGATAGTCCTTATCCTCTTAAGGGCGTCCTGTGTCCTCCCTACAATCTTTTCTTAGGGAAACGTCCTAGATATCTTTCTATTATATTAAGTTCTATGGGTCGAAGCCTATACGGGTCTTAGTTATACCGAGTAGGGTGGTTCTATTTACGTCCTACTACTACTAGCGTGTTATAGCCTTTCTTTTCTAACCTTCGTTCGTATAGGCGGTTATTAATCCTAATAGATATTAAAATTATCTCCTATAAATAATCCGGTCGGTCGCCTCTAACTAAGTTGTTCTTAACGTTTTCCTTTAATCCTTGGTAGTACTACGCGGTTAAAGCCGTCTTATTCTATAAGGTGTTAGACGCTACTAATTAGAACTAGGTAGCGTAATTAGCTACTAATCCCTTCTAGATTAAGTTTATTAGTTCTTTTTTTATAGTACGTGCCGCGTTAATGTCTCCGAATACTTATTATATCTTTACTTTAAACGAGAGCATATTAGTAAATAGTTCTATTATTTCCTAGGACTAGTTGCGTTTATTATTCTTAAGGAAATTCTTAAGATAAAGCTGAATTTATTTAAATGCTCGTCCCCTTAAATAGGTGATAATAAATATAACCTCGTTTTCTTCTTAGAAATATTTCTAGTTATACTAAATATATAGGTCGCACTAGAGTAGCTATAAATCGAGTTTATTACGCTCTCCACTATACTTATCTAGTACTTTGACCTTAACTAGTTTTAGTGCTAGGGGTGGCGGTAGTGCCTGCCCTCTTAATAGCCCGGCGGTCGATCCTATAGTAGATATATCGGCGTGTTAATCTTAGGTATTCTATAAAGGTGGTGCTTAAAGTATAACGAGGTGCTATTACGAGATAATAAAGATTACTTTGATAGTTGGGGTCCTAATTAAGGAGATAGGGAATAGTGCTAAGATATAGTTAATAAGGTGAGAATTAATATCACGTAGTAAGATTAGATCGGGTTATAAAGAATACTAGATTCTTATTTAAGTTAAGCACACTATTCTAAGGAACGAGAATAGTGCTATCTATATACTATAATGCCTCACGCCGTGATCTCTCTAATTAGAGTGATCCGTTCCTAATCACACTAATTACACTAATTAGGCCTACCTTAGCATCTTAAGTGATTAGTCCTTTATGTGACTCTTGGCACTAATCACTTTTTGTTCCGCGTCATCTGTCGCGGTTCGTGATACTAAGAGGAACTCTTAATATAGAGCTAGTCTTCTAAGGGAAACTAAAACCTTTAGAAGAATATACCAACTTAGATTAGGCTGGAGACTATAATATAAGATAGTTAATAGCTAGATATATATTTAATATTAGTAGCGGAGCTATTAGCTAGTCCTTAAAAAGATAATTTGTGGTAGTACTATTATCCTGCAAAGCTAAGTATATAGGATAGACACAGGCTGTAAAGGAAGCTATTTAGCTATAAAAGCTCCTTAAGAAGCTTCTTAATAGTTAAGATAAACCTAGTGCTACTATTATCTATAGAGATAACTAGGGGGTAATTACTCTTATAAAAAACCCTTAGTTCCACGCCTATATAAAGTATATTAACACCTAGTACCACTTTATATAAGAAATTCAAGCTATAGGTAAGATAGACCTTTAGTATATTCCTATAAGCGAGTAGGTAGCCGATAGCCTTATAAAGGCTCTACTAAAGAATCGTTTTACCGCCTTTTAAGACGCCCTTAATCTAGAATAAGGCTAAGGTCGAGCTAGAAAAACTATCTTCTAAGAATAAATAAAAATTTCGCACTAAAAGGTTTTTTTATATTAATAATAACCACTCTACTAGCTTGTATATAGCGAATCTATAGATAACACACTTAAAATAGCGCTATAAGAGCTTGCAATTAACGCTTAAATAGACGAATTTAACTATAGTTAGCTAGAGAAAAACCCCTTTAAACTCGAACCCTATACTCTAGTACCTACTATTAAAAACTACCTAAAATAAATCGGGAACTAAGTAGGCACACTATATATATACTAATAAGTAATCTCGTTTCCAATCACCGTAAATAAGATTAATTAGTAATAGTACCTCCCTAATAGACCTTAATAAGACACCTTTAATAGACTCTAGAAAGAGCTAAAAGAAGGGTATATAGTATAGCTCGGCCTATTTAGTATATAGAATAGGAGTTAGATTGCACGAAACGAATAGGATATAGATTATCAGTACTATTAAAGTATAGTAATTATCTAAAACCCCCTTCAAAGGGGTAAATACCTTATTATTTAGAACTGCGATCCTAAGCTAACTATAATAAAAGAAACTAGGCTTTAAGAAACTATAATACTAGTATAATTAAAGTTAGTCCTATACGCCGAAATAAAAGGAAAGCTTTAGAGTATTTAGTATAATATTGATATAAGAAAAACTAAATAAAACTATTGTCTTTAGCACGCCCTTAAATGGATTAATGTAACTACCTACTTTAGTAATAACCTATTTAATAGAGAAGCGGATCTATAGACTTATAGTTATGTTAGGATTATAAAGCGCTAAAAAGGCATAGAATATAATAGGCTATAGGAGATACTACTATAGGACCGCCTTTTATTTAAGTGGGAGTGTTAAATATCACGTGCATGTCACGTGTTTAACTAAAAAGGCGGAGGCTGGCAAGCCTTAGATGGAGTATATAGCCAGCCTCTCCCCACCATCCATAGCTGAATCAATAAACCACTTAGCTATCTATTTTACCAGTGAAGCACAGGCGCTAAGGTCAAGTTTGCTGGACTAAATCCTACGCTCGGCTAGGGTCGACTTCAGGCGCTGGGTTTCTTCGCTCTCTCTTGCTCTGGAGCGGCGGCGTCAATTCCGCCGCAGCAGGACGTAGCGGCACATCATTTCCCGGTCCCGAAGATCGTTCTCCAAACCTACCGCTGTCGCAGATTCCTGCCGGTGCGATCTCACATCAAGTCATCAGCTGCCTCATTGACGCCTATTTTGCCAATTACCACACCGCTTACCCATTCATACATGAAGCGACTTTCAGAGCGCAGTATAGTGAGCTGATCAGCCGCCCACCAAAGCACACATGGCACTTACTTCTAAACACTGTCCTTGCCCTTGGAGCCTGGACTATTGGCGACGAAAATGATGACCTCGATGAAGTGTTTTACAGAGAAGCAAGCCGTTACTCGCAAGACCAGTCCATATTCGAATCAGGAAATTCTTCCACTCTGCAGGCTTTAATCCTCCTCAGTAATTATGCGCAGAAGCGTAATAAACCAAACACGGGCTGGAACTATCTTGGACTCGCCGTGAGAATGGCTCTAAGTTTAAGCCTGCATAAAGAATTTCCAGGCTGGAATATTGGAGCTCTACAACGCGAGATGCGTCGACGGATTTGGTGGGGCCTGTTCATCTTCGACAGCGGGGCGTCAATCACCTTTGGCCGAGCGATCTTACTGCCGGGAAAGGGCTTCGTGGACGTCAAGCACGTATTGAATATTCCACATCGGGATGCTTTTTGCTGGTAATAGAGTCCCTGGATCCTGGCAGAATCACACCCTGACCGTGCATCGCAGGGCGAACCATTGCTGGCTTCGCTGTCGGTATGCTGACCATGATTGTTCCCATGTATATGGCGGAGGTTTCGATTCCCGGTATCCGAGGCACGCTAGTTGTGCTCCAGCAATGTGAGTTCCACACTCTGACGAAGCGAACGTACGAGTCTGGTTGTAACGCTTGCAGTGAACATCACGATCGGTATCTCGATCAGCTACTGGCTCGAGTATGGAACTCATTACATTGGCGGTGTCCGTTGTGCTCCGGACATCCCATACTCTGGTGGATCTGAGCTGTTGCGGACCTTCGATCCTTACCGCGATGTAGGACCCAATGGATGCACCGGACAGTCAGCCGCTTCCTGGAGAGTGCCTTTTGCGCTTCAGATAGTTCCTGGCCTCGTCCTCGGCATCGGAATACTGTTCTACCCTGAGTCACCCAGATGGCAGCTCAAGGCCGGCCAGGACGACAAGGCCATCGCTGCTTTGTCACGCCTGCGACGCTTACAGCCCCACGACGAAGCTCTCCGGGCGGAATTCCTCGCGATAAAGACGGAAGTTCGTTTCGAAGAGAGCTTTGTGAAGGAAAGGCACAGTGGCAAGGCCGGCTTAGGTCTTTCGTTTGCGCTGTACAAGGATCTTGTCTCATCATGGCCCAACTTTCGTCGCCTCTCGATTGGCTGCCTTGTCATGTTCTTCCAGCAGTTTATGGGTTGCAATGCCATGATCTATTACGAGCCAACCATCTTCGGCCAGCTCGGCCTATCTGGCAATACCACCTCGCTGCTCGCCACCGGCGTCTACGGCATGGTCAACACTCTATCAACATTGCCCGCGCTGTTTCTTATTAACAATGTCGGCCGACGTCCGCTTCTTGTAGCGGGAGCTGCTGGGACTTCCATCTCGCTCGATATCGTCAGCGGCATAATCTTGTATAGTATTAGATAAGATCTAATATTGTTCCTCTACGTAGTAAAATAAGTGTATACAGTTTGCAATAGACATGTTTTTATAGTATATTAGCAAGTTATCTTCTTGATTCTAAGTAGCTGTAAGTATCTAGAGCCTACTCTAAATAGTTTATATTAGTGTATTATTCACTACTCGGAAAATCGGCTCTAGTTAAGAATATCTAAAACCTATAAAATGCTCTATAAGTATACCTAGAATAGCTATAAATTACTTAGTAGTTAATAAAAGAATAGAGATTATTAAGTATCTTAGAGTTTTTCTACTTAATTAATAAATCTTTTAATTACCTAGTAAAATAGGTTATATCTATTGAGTAATTACTAGTAGAATACTTAGATACACTTACTAGCTATTTAGAATACTTATAAATAAGCTTTTTTTTTTTTAGAGAGTTCTAAATATTCTAGTTATCTAGACTATCTAGACTATCTATACTATTTAAAATAATAAGTACTACTTAGTAAGTAGCTTATTAAATAAGATGCTTAGAGTTTCTATTTTTATTTAATCTTTATTCTCTAGTAAAAAGAGATATAATATTATAGATTCAGATTAATATGCTTCTGTAAAATCGATTCTATTAATATATACTAATAAGATATTAGGTATTAATTAAATTAAGTATAAAAGATCTTAATCTAATCTAGATAAAAGAACTAACTTTCTACTATATAATTTAGTCTTTATACCTATTACGTAGTAATTTCTAATAAGTAGTAGCTAAAAGCTCTACTATCTAGTAATTATTTTTATATAATAGTAATTAATTTATTCTACTAGCTAAGCGGATCCTACCTAGTATACTTAATCTTCTATATTATAACCTAGCTAGAGGAGAGTCTTAGTATAGTATTAAGCTATACTATACCTAGCTTGTTACTAAGCTGGATGTTATAATTCTACCTTCTTAGTATTCTTCCTATATCTATAGATGCCTACTATCTAATAGATAGTAGATTTTAGTCTTTATATATACTACTAGATACTATTTCTTAACTACTATAGAATATATCTTACTACTAGTAATTACCTAGCTTGATACTATCGAGCCACTACTAGTAGCTACTTATATAGATATATTAACCTACTAGCCTATAGATCTCGATAAGAGAACTTAGGTTACTAATATTCTATATATAAAGATAATCTAATCTAATTAAGAATTAGATTACTACTAGTTTAGTAATAAAGATAGAATAGTATATATTAGGGAAAATTTAGGCGCTCGTGAAATTCGCATTAGTCTAAGATATCTAAGGCGCTTGTAGAGACGCTCCTAGCACTCTAAGCGCTCCAATCAATTGGAGCGGGTATAAATAACTTAGTAAGCATAAAAAACATAAATTACGTAAAAAATCTTAGAGTTCTCTTTCTCGCTCAACTTTTACCCCCCTGCAAAAATAGATAATATATCTATATTTTAAAAATTTGAGCGGATAATAATTGTTTTTATCGAAAGTTTACCCTCTAAGCTACTCTTATAATACTCCCTCCTATCCTACTAGTTGATCTAGACTTAAAGCTTTTTCTAAAAAAAATTTTGATAATAACTAAGTAGGCTTGGCGCCAAGACCCGCCCTGAGTACTTGGAGCCGCTCGCGAGCGGCTCTAAGCGCCGAAATTTTTTTTCTAATATAGTAGTATTTACCTATTTAAGTATACTAAGTGTACTTGAGTATAAATAATACTTAAGTTACTATTAAATAAAAACTAGTCTCTTATTTTAGATTAGTATTTCTATACTAGACTATAGTTTATTCACTAGCTAAAATATAACCTAATCTAACTAGAAAGACATAATCTCTAAATAGTAGTAATACTATAGCTCTTTCTTCTAAATAATAGAGACTTAATTCTAAATATAATCTATCTTCTATCTAAGAGTAGTTTACTTAGTAAGATACTAAGTCTTCTAACTTTTATAACTTCTCTTTTCTTTTTATTACTTTTTATCTCTTTATTTACTCTTTATTACCTTAATTAGATTAATCTGCTTAATTTTTCTTTACTTTAGAAGTATTTTATTTTTTAATTCTTCCTATTTAATAGATACTTTAATTAGCTATACTAGCGTTTTTTTATATAGGCTACTATTTTTAATTTTAATTTTTTATAATTTAAATAGCTTATAGCGTTCTTACCTTTAGCTATAACTATTCTAGTAGAGTTAGCTTAAACTAAGCTATTACTATAGATACTTAAATAGTAGCTAAGTTAATTTTCCACTTCTATTCCATTCTAGAATCTTTTATTATAGAGATAGAAATAAATAAAAATAAGGTATATAAAGAATAAGAACTAATAAAAACTCTAAGTACTAGAAACTTTCTTATTATATAAAGCTATTCTATTACTTAGTTTCTTAATAATAGATAATCTCTAGAAGAAGTCTACTAGAATCTAATTTAAAATATAGCACTACTCTATAACTTAGACCCCTATATCTAGTAGCTATAATATATTAGAGAGAAACCTAAAGTCATTATATTATAAATTAAGAATTAGAACTGATAGAGATAATTACTTTTTATCTTAGTACTCTTCTTTTTATCTAGTTTCTTTATTCTAAACTCTTATACTAGATAAATTTTATCTGTTATACTAGATCTCTAAATTAGGATTTTTTTTTAATATTTAGAGCTACTTAGAGTGCTTAGAGCCTACTTTAAGTATTTAAAACCTTTAAGTAACTCTATATACTTATAAGTAGCTTAGAGCGTGTTAAAATATTGAAAGTACTTTAAATATTTTAGATATTTTAGATATCTAAATTATTTAAGGTATTTAAAATATCTAAAATATCTAGAAGTATAGCTTAGTAGGCTTAATATACTTAATTAGTAGCTAAAAATAATTAAAAAAAGCTTTAGGTCTAATCTAACTAGTAGAATAAGAGGGTATATAATAGAACTAGTTTGAAGAGTAAACTTTTTATAAAAATAATTATTATCCGCTTAACTTTTAAAAATATAAACATATAACCTATTTTCATAGGGGGGGAAAGATTAAGCAAAAAGAGTAACTCTAAGATTTTTTACATAATTTATGTTTTTTTTACTTACTAAATAATACTAACTATTTTAGGTATATTATATATTAGTACGCTTTAAGTACTTAAAATATACTTAAAACTCTTAAATAAAGCGCTTCAAGTACTTAAAGCACACTTAGAGTATCTTAGATGTCTTAGACTATAGCTAATTTTATAAGCGCCCTATTTTTCCTAATATAGAGCTAGTTTAGAGAGTAAACTTTTAATAAAACTAATTATTATCCGCTTACTTTTTAAATTCGTAGATACTATACCTCTTTTTACTAGAGGTTTAAAGTTAAGCGAAAGTAGGAACTCTAAGAAAATCTACTTGATAAGCTGCTTACTAAGCAGCCTCTTGTTTTAGATATTTTAGATATTTTAGATAATTTAAATAATTTAGATATCTAAAGTACTCTAAGCGCTTAGAGTACTCTAGATAAGATAGTCTATATATAAGAAGCTTGCAAGCACTCTAAGATTC